CCCAGATGCCCCATGTAGCAGGGGTTTTTAAAAACCTGACAAATTTAAACTTCTAAATAAGACAAGAAAATGTCCTCCAAGATGATCATACTCTGCATACCTCAGACCTGCAATAAATATTCCTTGATTTGAAAATAAACAGCAGGCAAGCACTCTTCATTTTTCTTCTGATGAATATAGACAATTTAAATATAATAAGAATTCAAGTAAACACCTAAAAAGAGAAACAACTTATAATAAACTACAAACCTGAAGTTATACAAAAGGTGTTTACCGACCTAAGTATGCAGGAAAATACAAATTTTGTTTACAGGGAACCAGGGGCGCCTGGGTGGCTCAGTCGGTTGATCGTCCGACTTCAGCTCAGGTCATGATCTCATGGTTTGTGAGTTCGAGCCCCACATCAGATTCTGTGCTGACAGCTCAGAGCCTGGACCCTGCTTTGGATTCGGTGTCTCCCTCTCTCTCTGCTCCTTGCCCGTTCACTACTATCTCTCTCTCCCTCAAAAATAAACATTAAAAAAATGTTTTACAGGGAACAGGTGGAGCTTCAAAAACTACCTGTAAAGATGTTATGAAATTCAGAACACATTTCCCATCAAAACCATGTTACACTGGTAGTGAACTCCCCGCCTGATCCATGAAGGGTAGTGAGAACGATTTAAGCCACACCTGTGTTTTAGGTGGACGGCACTAGTGGTCTATGGCAAGAAACAGATAATGCTAGAGGAATAAAAAGGGCTCTTCTTCACACAGAGCAGAAGGCTCTCAGCTGAGTCCCTCTCCACAGAGGCTCTCCAGCCAAGAGATCCCACTCCCCAGGTGATACTGTCTTCAGGAGACAGCCCAAGTCCTAAAGGCCAGTCAGCAGAGGAAGGGGAGTTAACGGCCCTGCCCCCATGCCTCAAGGTGAGCTAACTCAGCAAGGCCATCCCAGCTCCAGGCCTCCCTGTAAACTGCAAGGCAGTTCAACTCCTCCCTTCGCTCCATTCTGCTTCCCTCACAACCCCGCTACAACATTCCCAGTAAAACTCCTACACGTAAAATCTGTTTCAAAGACTGTTTCCAGAATCTAAGGCAAATAACTAACACTTAGTAAACTCATAAGTCAAGCACTGTGTGTATACATACACATATAGTGTATAGGTAATATGTATGTAATATATGTGATCATACTGTATATGTAAGGGTAGGTACTAAAATCCCATTTTAATATCCAGAAACCAAGTCAAATCACTAGCCCAAGATCATACCTACGCCTTCCAAATGTACATTCAATCACTATGTAAACTACCCTCGTATACTATAAAGTGTTGCTGAATGGAATGGATTAAGGCAGATTCAGCCACCCAGATGTTCTGGGTACAGTCAGGAATGAGTGGAGTGGTGATCCACAGTCATACATAAAACAGCAATTAATAAAAGGACTTGGGATCCAGGCCCACTGAAAACTGCATACTATGATCAAGGGTCCATATATTTTTAGGCCTTCCACAAAAAAACAGTGGCCTGATGGAACCAGAATTCCAAAATGAAACTATATAGTTATAACCTACTGCATGATTACTAGTTCCTAAAAATGACTGGCGAATCGTGTCCACCTACAATCAAAACGCTATGATATGTACACAGAAATCTACTACGTAGGAAGAGCACTTACTCCAATTCCTGCAAGAAGCTTCATAGCCAGTATCTAGAAACGAAACTAATGAGCCGTACAAAGTCCTTACAATTAGTATTCGTCTTACCCAAGATGCCCAACTGCAATCAGTTCAACCTCTTCCCCTACAACCATACCGTAGCTTCCGGAGCTCGCTCTAACAGTCTTCCTTTATAGATTAAGCAGCTATATCTACACATACTGATAAAGAGTGAACAACTAAGAACTCATATCACCCTCCCCTGGTGGCCATCCCGCACAAGAACTGTAAGACACAAAACAATTCTATCAACTTCAAACAAGCACAAACTACAACTACTACTAACTTCATTAAATTTGCACTTGCAGACGTCAGTCACAGTGACTCGAACGGTGAGAACAAACTGTTTAAAAGTTTAACAGAATTCGGATTTATCACATTCTCAAAATAATCATCTGATTTGTAATATTCATAAACTGCAAAATCTAATGTGACAAGTAAAAATCAAAATATTCTTAGAAATATTACAATATTTCTAATCAGTGTCATTCTAAAATTCAAAAGTAATTGGGCCTTATCAGTTAATTCTCGAGAGTTTGCATATCTGTTGCCCCTTCCTTTAAAATTCACTGATGCCACTTCTCCCACCCCAACATTAGAAAGTACAGCTTTAAGTAGCAAAAAAAACCCCCAAAAAGCCAGAAAAACAAGAAACAAAACACACACACACACACACACACACACACTTGTAATTTCCTTATGTATCAATACTGCACACAGGAGGCCTTAGCACCCACATTCAGTTACCAACTGCAGTGAGAAGTTCTTCAAATGAAAGTGGATCATTCACTGAGACTTCACACCATGTCAAAACCAAATATGGAATCATAAAATACAGCTTGCTGATCAGTCTGTATCTTCTTTAACCCTGACAATGGCAATGTTTGGCCCACTTCTTCCCCTTTTCCCCAGTCACCTCATAAAACAAGCTCCAAGTCAGAAATACACAGCGTCACATAGATATACACAGAACTGCTAAATATACCTGAGTTTGCCACTGCAGAGGAAAGTAATAATAGTGACAATGTAACCAGCTTGAAGTATACAAAGGAGGAGGCATCACCAGCCTAAGAAAAAATATTTCCTCCCGCAGCCTAAGAAAAAGTATTTCCTTGCGCCTCTGTGAAGTGGTCTCATCTTTTGAAGAAAGAAATAGCCATCTTGAAGCTTCACACAGACAAAAAATAAAAAGGTAAGTGAGAACCGGAATGCACACTCCGTGAGGACCAGGATGTCCTCTCCTGGTTACCACTGTGCCCTTTCATACTTAACACAGCACTTGTAACACTGTAAGTGCTTAATATTTTTCGAAGGAATGAATGATAGCTACCATTCATTGATCACTTTTCTTCAGGAACTCTACTAAGCATGTTAAGGCATAACAAACCTTTAAAACAACTTCATGGTCTCCTGGGTGTCTCAGTCAGTTAAGTGTCTGATTTCGGCTTAGGTCATGATCTTGCAGTTTGTGAGTTCAAGCCCTGCATCAGGCTCCGTGCTGTCAGTTCATAGCCTGGACCTTGCTTTGGATTCTGTGTCTCCCTCTCTCTGCCATCCCCCACTCCTGCTCTGTCTCTCAAAAATAAACAAACATTTAAAAAGGGGCGCCTGCGTGGCTCAGTCGGTTAAGCATCCGACTTCACTCAGGTCAAGATCTCGAGGTTCGTGGGTTCAAGCCCTGCATTGGGCTCTGTGCTGACAGTCTGTTTCAGATTCTGTGTTTCCCCTCTCTCTCTCTGCCCCTCCCCAACTCATGCTCTGTTTCTCTGTCTCAATAATAAAAAACATTAAAAAATATTTTTAATAAATAAACATTAAAAAAAAACTGCAAACTGGATAAGAAAGTAACAATCTCACAATAACCTTATGACAGGCCCAATGGAATATATATTCCATATATATATATTCTCTATTTTTTTTTTTTCATTTTATAGTCGAGGAAATCAAGTCTCAGGAAGACTGACCTTCCCAAAAAGACAGAACTTTAAAGGGCTGAACCACCAGTCTGTCTTCCTTCCCCTATGCCACATCAATACCAAAATGAAGTTTAGAGCTAGGAAAACAAAAGAATATGGATAGCGACGGCAGTCTGGCCAAAAACTGTATTATCAAACATTCAAAACTAGGATGTCTGTTCCTGGAAAAAAGGAAAACTTTCCTACATCACTACTGCAGAGATACAGCCAATGGGGCCCATGGTTCTGTTCTTAATTGGCTACACTTCAAGCTTCTTCAGAGCACCGTGGGGTTCTTTCGAGTGCGGATGCCCCTTTAAAAAGTGACTGATCTGCATAAAGAATGCCTTCAAAAGCTGAAAGGCTACAAGTTAAAAGTCAGATGTAAAGATCCTAATTTCCCTTCATTAAAATATACCTTTATCCCCTTCCCTTAAAAACTGCCTGACTAGAGGAATTCAAAGAAGTGTCCAAGTAATAAAAAAGTGTTCGCCCACCACCCCATAAGGAAAACCGTGTCTCTGTAGTGACAACGGCAATCTGTCACATCTTCACTACTTCCTAAGTGCCCCTCAAAAGGTGCACTAAGGTACCACCTAAGATTAGTAGGCTTCCTTCTAAAACTGTGAAAAAGAATCATACAGACGACGTTTTTTTTTTTTAACTCCGGTCTGAGAACGGAAGTCAAGTTCAGATTCTCTTCCTTCCTCAAGCGAGCAAGAGAATTAAAGAGCGCGCGCGCGCACAAGCGCGCGCGCGCACACACACACACACACACACACACACGCCCTGTAGTAAAAATGTCTCAGGCCTCTTCACCTGTGGCAATCGCCGCAGCAACCCTCGATTTGCTGGGATTTGAGGCTCTTGTCCACGCGGGGAGAAGGCGGATGGGGGAGGAGGGACACAGGGAAGAATGAACTGGTGCCTAAGTTTCCAATCGGATCATTCTTTTCAACTTGGGCAGCTCTTTCCTCTCCTCCCCCCTCCCCCAAACCCCCGTTCCCCCAAGGTCCGGGACACACACTCGGCTCCGCCAGAACCCCCAGGGCCGGAGGGGAGCGCTGCTGCCGCCCAGCACCGGAGCACCCCTGGCGTCGGAGGCTCAGGCGGCACCGGGCTCCCGGCCCGGGAGCGGCGCAGACCCCGGAGCAGGGGCCGCAGATCGGTCATCGCCGCCGGGCGTGGGGACCGCGAAGGGACAGCCGCGGCGCGGCGGAGGGGCGGGGTGAGCACTTCCTGACTCTCGCATTGTCCACGCACCGCCCGCGCCGCCCCGGGCCCCGCCACCGCGCCTTCCCCGTCGGGGAGGAAGTTGGCGCTCGCCGCGCCAGCCCCGTCTTACCGTTCTTGGCGTCGCCCGCGGCTGCAGCCCCCGAGGCGGCCGCGGCGTTGGCGGCGCCAGTCCCCGCGCCTCCGGTGCCCGCCGCGCCCCCGGTGCCGGGCGCGCCCGCCGCCGCCGCTCCGCAGCCGGCCGCCGCCGCCAGGCCCCCCCCGGCTGCCGCGCCCGCCGCGCCCGCCGCTGCCAGGGCCCCGGCTCCATTTTCCTGCTCGTCCCCGCTGCTGTTGGCGCGCTTGTTTTTGCGGCCGCCTTTGCTGTTTTTGGGGTTGGGCATCTCGCGAGCGTCCAGGTGCCCGGCGTCAGGGAAGGCGGCTCCCCGCCGCACGGCCGCTCCCGGCCCGCGCGGCGTCGGCTCCGGGAAGAAGAGAATGGAGGGCGCGGGCCGGCGGCTCCTCCGGCGCCCGTCTAGCCGCGCGGCCCGCGCCGCGCCATCCCGGCCGCCGCGCCCTCCCCGGCTTCCTGGAGCCGGCGCGCGGCCACCCGAGGCTCGCAGCCGCGCGAGCGCGGCGGGCTCGGGACCGGGGCGAGACGCTCCCGAGCCGGAGGGAAAAGGCGGGTCTCCGGCTTGTTTTGATTCGGCTTCGCTGACACGCTCTGGCCCCGCCCCCGCCCGTGACGACACTGGGGATTCGGCTTGGCCGCGCCCACCAGGTGACCTCAAGGCGGACCGGCCCGCCCGCGTGACGTCACGCCCCGCGCGGGCCGGCCACGTTCGGGTGACGTCATTCTGGCGCCCTCACCGCCACCGCCGGCCTGCGAAGCCGTTGGGCGTCCGCGAAGCCACCTACCTGAAGTGGCCGCCTACAATCCGGTGGCATCTGGAGTAGTTATTCGGTGGCCTCCTGACCTTCATGTAATTGAGGCTTGGAAAAATAGGCGGGTGACCAGAAGAAGAAGGGAAAACAAAGGATTTTGGATTAATAATCCAAAAGACCTTACCCTTTAAGTACAGTTTTAGGTTCAGTAATTACAGAAACAGGTTCGAGTTCTCAGACGATAAGAATGAACAACAGGGGGGGCGCCTGGGTGGCTTAGTCGGTTAAGCGTCCGACTTTCGCTTGGGTCATGATCTCACGGTTCGTGGGTTCAAGCCCCGCGTCGGGCTCTGTGCTGACTGCCAGCTCAGAGCCTGGAGCCTGTTTCAGTCTGTGACTCCCTCTCTCTCTGACCCTCCCCTGCTCACGCTGTCTCTCTCTGACTCTCCCCTGCTCACGCTGTCTCTCTCTCTCCTAGAAATAAATAAAAAAGTTAAAAAAAAATTTTTTTTAATGTTTTAAAAAAAAAAAAAGAATGAACAACAGGGACCCTGAAGGAGAAGCCGGCACCGTGTAGTTGTGAAACTAGTTATACAAACAGGACCCACCATCCAGGATGAAACTAAATGTTGCCTGTGACCACGAGGCAGGACCTGCCTGGGGGGGAACCCAATCCCTGTGGGTTGATCTGTCCCCAAAGAGAGAGCTGCGTTGGGAGCAGGCTAAGATTAAAACGGGACACCTCTGAAGAGAGGCAATGACCTGAGGGCAGGAGATCCTTGGGGTTTTACGTGGTTTCTCTTTTCTGCAACTTGACGCTGCCTTTTCACAGACCAGCTCCTTCCCATACCTCAGGTTCCAGATCAAACACACTTCCTTCAGGATGTTATAATAGAGACACTTTCGGGGAGTAGCTGTGAGAAGTATCACTGATAATTTTTCTCATCCATCTCTTATTATGTTGTATATGTTTACTTGTTTCCTTTCTATCTCCTGCTCACTCTCATGAAAACTCCATAGGTAGTAGGTTTTATCTGTCCTGGGCACCTCAGGGAGCAGCTAGGATATATTTGTTGAATGTATGAATTAGGTTCATTTCCCCAGGATCTATGGAGGAAAACTACTTTAGTTGACAATTTACAGTTTTCCCTTCCTCTAGTGTAATCTTTAATGAACCCAGCTCTTCAGTAAATGCTCAGTGGCTGGGTTGTAAAGCATAAAGAGACAAACGGGGATGCACAGAGAAGAGAACTCTCTCTCTCTCTCTGTCTCAGGCTCCCCTGATGGAAGGTTCTGACTGGGGGCTTCCAGGTTCGTAGCAGAATCCATAGCAGAGCTTGGAGCTTCAGGGAGGCTGAAGAGGCAGCCTGGATACTCAGGGGCAATTGCTGGTTGGACTTTTCAGTAGGAAAATGATGACCCTTTTGATTCCCCAATATATATTGACAGTTACATTAGAAAGATATTTTGTGCCTATATTTTCACATCTATTTCTCCCCCACGCTGACATCCTTTAAGCACTAGAGGAACAGGGATTGAGTCTATCTTTGTAGCTAACTCGTCAGAGGCTAGCAAAAAAGAAAACCTGACCCACAGTAAGTGGTAGATGCGTAATGTACTTTTCTCTGGCTGTAGTTTTCTGAACCTTGAAGTCTCAACCAAATCAATTCCCTGGGAAGTCTACTCTGACAGCTCAAAGCAAGATCCGCCCCCAAGAGCTCCCTGTACCTTCCCTACCAAAACAGCCCAGCACACAAGGTATTGAAAATGCCTGTTTACGGGGCTCCTGGGTGGCCTAGTCGGTTAAGCATCCGACTTTCGCTCAGGTCATGATCTCACGGTTCGTGGGTTCGAGCCCCGTGTCGGGCTCTGTGCTGACTGCCAGCTCAGAACCTGGAGCCTGTTTCAGAGTCTGTATCTCCCTCTCTCTCTGACCCTCCCCTGCTCATGCTGTCTCTCTCTCTCTCTCTCTCTCCTAGAAATAAAATTAAAAAAAAAAAAAAAGAAAATGCCTGTTTACTTGTCTCTTGCCTGGGCTCCCACTGGACTACCAGCTATGTGATGACAGAACCTGTCTTACTCATCACCGAATCCTTCTTGCCTAGCACAGTGCATGGTAGATAGTAAGTATTTAGTAAGTGCATATGCAGCAGGATTGGGTCATCACTTGGACCCGTGAAATCAAAAAAGTGCTGAAAACAGGAGGAAATGCTGATGGTGCGTAATTAGAGACTTTACCAGGAGGATGGAGGACTGGGGATGAAGATAATGAGTTAATGTGGCCCACTCAGATTTAGCTTAGGTTCATTACTGAGCTCCCTCACTAGAGGTGGCTGAGACACCTCATCTTCCCTTGGGCCTTTTTTTTTCTCTTCTTTCTTTCTTTCTTTCTTTCTTTCTTTCTTTCTTTCTTCCTTCCTTCCTTCCTTCCTTCCTTCCTTCCTTCCTTCCTTCCTTCGAGAGTGGTGAGAATGAAGAAGCTTTACATTAGAATACAGGAAAATTGAGGTAACTATTTTCTTGTATAAGCACATTGCTGTCCTGCCATATTGGTTCAGAGTACGTATTCATGTATCCTGCAGACAGATGTTCACTCCAGCTGCCTCCCACCTCCAGATAACTGAGACTTAAGAACTGGAAGCTCTCCCGCAAAACTACCATAATTAACTCAAAGCACACAGTCATCCAACCAGTTGCTGTTCTTATTCATTGTGTGAGCCACCTCCTTCTCATTCAAACTAAAAATCAAAAGGAGAAGGCACAGCTGGGCCACTTCCTCCATGCTTACCCTTGCTCATCTGTTTTTAGCCTTAGTCAAATTTGATGCAGAGGCAATGGTAAAGGATTCCATTTCCTACTTCCAAACATGTGACATTTCCTTGGAATCCTAGCCCTTTTGTCTTTCCCTTTTTGCATCATTTTTGAAGAAGAGAGAAAGAGAGAAAATGTTTCTAAAGAGCAAAAGCTGGATGGTGGGTGACCCCAAGCCCTCCCCTCAGATGCTTTCAGAAGAAAATATGAAGAGCTTTAGAAACTATGGAAACCTCTATGCTCTGTACAGTCACATGTGGCTTCTGTTTAATTTCCATGATCAACCCATGTGGTGTTTGGAAGTAAACTTTCAAAAAAAGTAGACCTATATAGACCCCAGGTTTCCGTCCCCCAAACCATCATCCACTCCAAACCAGATCTTTGCAAAATTGGGTAAAACACAGCAACAGTCCAGGTCATCAGAGGTAAACAATTGATAGCCCTGAGAAAAAGGACAAGCTAATCTTCAGGACTAGATCAGAATAAATGGCCATTGTTTCAGTGTTCTTGTTCTGTTTGCATTTTTGCTTGATGTGTGTGCCTGTGTTTTGAACTCTTGGGGTCAACTAAGTCCTTTGGGCTAGAATTAGACTGATCTGCTAGTCACTTCAAGTAAATATACCTTGAACAATGCCTATTATCTCTATGGACCAGGTTTTGTTTTCTTTCTTGTTTTGTTTTGTTTTGTTTCTAGAAATAGTCTCTCCTATTCCCAGAGGCTTACTTTGAGGAATAGTAATAGTGTGATTATAAAGACTTTTGACAATTGGAATACTAATGTAAATAATGACCTGAGTTATGCCATGGATCTGCTCCCCTACTAAACTATTCCTAATTATCAATATTAATATTTTTCTCAAATATGCATCCTCATAATCTGTTTCCAGGCCTTTAATTTGAGTTTTACATCATTTCCATAACCTACAAAAGCAGTCAAATAAAAGATCAGAATTATCTCAGTAATCCCGCAACTCTCTGCCTACTCCAGCCTCTATGCCTTCTTTGGCATACTGTTGTCCCAACTCAGTATCAACATGGTCATGAACCCCAGTTATCTAAATAGGACTCTCCTTTCAAGAGATATATCCATAATCTTTCCCGGGACAGACATACCTGGACTCCTACCATTCAATACTCATTTACTTTATACCTCTGTGTGCTCACCACCTGGCTATACCAATGTTTTCCAAAACGTGGGTCATTCATATTCTCTTCACGTGCTGTGAGATCAGTTCAGAGGGTTCCTAACAGCATGTTTTGAAAACTGGAACAGAAGAGAAAATATCAGAATTCATTGCTATAGAAATTAAGTATTGTTTTGTAGAACATACATAATGTTTTTCTAAAATTTAGTTTACACACACACACACACACACACACACACTACACATCTTATTGTGTAGTCCATTTCTTATTGTGGTGGCAAGCCAAAAAAATCTGGAGGCCACTGACTATACCATACCATGGTTTTCTCACCTCAGGGGGAGCATTTTATCTCTCCAAGTATATATTAAATTCTGCAAAGGAAGGCATCATATCTTTGATCTTTTCTACTTCTTCCAATGAAGCTACCGTCACAAGTATTTTGGCTGCATGTTCCATACATATGTAAAAACAAATTAAACTTGGGGCACCTGGGTGGCTCAGTTGGTTGAGCATCAGACTTACACTCAGGTCATGATCTCACGGTTCACAGGTTCAAGCCCCACATCGGGCTTCAGCACAAAGTGAGCTTCGGTTCCTCTGTCCCCTTCTCTCTTCCTCTCCTTGCTTGTACTCTCTCCAAAATAATAAATATAAAAACAAAACTCAAAAACCTGAAATTATATTGGGGGAGGGGTGGGCAACACAACAACAAACATAAAGGAAACAAATACAAATTAATCAACTATTAATCTGAAAGTAAAAAAATAAAAAAAGATAGGTAGGTTATATTTTGTTTTGTTTTGTTACCTTTTATTTCGGAAGGGGAATGGTCCCCTCATATCCCCAGA